ATACATGCACACATACACACATACACACACACACATATATACATACTATATATGTGTAGACAGACAGACAGACAGACTGGGTGAGTGCTTACTAGCTAACCATATGTCATAATATGTACTGCTTGTGCTCTTTGTCCTTTGCAGAATTATAAAGGGATTTCACTACTTGGAGTGAGCATGTGAAAAATGCTGTTCTCCTAGCAATCCCTAGGCATTCCTCATCTCAGCCTGAGCAAATTATACCCCAGAGACATTTGGTTTGCCATAAAACACATACAATTAATTTAAACGGTAGGAAAAATAGCAAGCAAGCTGGCTCCCTGTTTCTATCCTGCTGTGTCGCACACTGTTCTGTGCAGTGTAAATGACTATGGGATCACTGTTGGGTTTAATTCTGGAAAATTAAGATGCAATATTATATGCAAAAAAGGAGAGAACTTATACCCAGATCTGCCAGCCATCTGTGCAACTTACAGGCATGACGCTTCTGTGGATTTATAGCCAATGGGAGTTGCTCACTGGAGAGGTGCAGAACATAGTAGGCATTTTATAAATATTTGCTGAGTAAATTAAAGAACAAGACAGTGTTTTGCAAACATCCAGAAAGACAAACAGCTGATCCCAAGACTGTCCAACAAGAATGTTCTGACCTACTTTGGTTACCAAGACTTTAGGGTCAACGAGAATTGCCTAGACAAAAATAATCCTGTTGGCATTATTTAGCAGCATCAGATGGACATTGAATTGGAATGGTCTAGAATAGGTGGTAGATGATCTAGAGACAGTTAGGTGGCTCAGTAGATAGAGTACTGGGCCTAGAGTCAAGAAGACCTGAGTTCAACTCCAGGCTTAGATACTTACTAGTTTTGTGATCGAGGGCAAGTCACTTAACCTTTATTTGCCTTAATCCACTGGAGAAGGAAATGTATCACTCCAATATCTGCCAAAAAAAATGCCCTTTAAGGAATTATAAAGAGTAAACAGGACTGAACAACAGATTAAATTAGTGTGGAGGCAAGGGGTCAGACCAGATGACATTAAGAGTACTTAAGTACCCTAAAGACCTGTGGGCTTTTGCCTTCCACTCCACCACATAATCCTTAGGACTGTTAGGCCTTATGCCTTAACTTCCTCTTAGGCATTGTCTCCAGATAAAACTTGAGCTCCCTGAGAACAGGCACAGTCTATCAAGGGCGGGGAACCATGGCCTAGAGGCCATATGTGGCCCTCTAAGTCCTCAAATGCAGCCCTTTAAAAATAAGTCAAAGGCCACAGACTCCCCATCCCAGACTGTTTAGCACAGTGCGTGGTACATAGTAAGGGCTTAATTAATGGTTCTCTATTCATTTATTCCTTTATCTCATTCCTTTTCATAAAAAAAAAGGTTAAAGGACTTGTCTTTCCACTGAAAGTGATGTACTATGATTTAAAATATCTACTTTTTTAATTTATTGTTAACTTTTCAAGAATGAGTTGAGTGGTAAAATCTGAGAGTTTAGGGCTAGTGCCAATTAATCCAGGACAGTGATTTCATCAAAATAGAAACTCTCCACATGGATAACCTTCTCCTCTCTATATAGGTAACCCCTCTGTAACTTACTGTCTAAAAAAGTTTTCTTGGACCTGGGTAATGATTAGCAATTTTGATGTCCTGGGCAGGTAAAATGGAAAACATTCTCAAACCAACTTTGTAATTCATGAAGTGAAAAGAATACAAGTATTACTAAGACAAATATTGTGGAGGAAGAGTGGGGATTACTGTAGAGTCTCAGAAATGGATGTTATTAACAATGCTGGGTGACTTTCTATTTTAACTAATTCTAGATAACTAGATACTTAGTTGTTTCTACCCTCTTTTTTACATTTTAATTCATTAATTAATTAATTAATTAATTTTTAGTTTTCAACATTGACTTCACAAGATTTTGAGTTCTAATTTTTCTCCTCATCTCTACCCTTCCCCCACCCCAAGACAGCTGCATTCTGAATACTCCTTCCCCCAATATGCCCTCCCTTCTATCACCACCCCCCCTTCTTTTATCCCCTTCCCCTACTATTTTCCTGTAGGTCAAGATAGATTTCTATACCCCATTGCCCATATTATTTCCCAGTACATGTAAAAACAATTTTTAACATTCATTTTTAAAGCTTTGAGTTCCAAATTCTCTCCCTTCCTCCCTCCCCACCCACCCTCATTGAGAGGGCAAGCAATTCAATATAGGTTATACATGTGTAGTCATGCAAAACACTTCCATAATAGTCATATTGTGAAAAACTAACTATATTTCCCTTCATCCTATCCCACCTCTTGTTTATTCTATTCTCTCCCTTGACCCTCACCCTCCTCAAAAGTGTTTGCTTCTGATTACTTCCTCCCTCAATCTGCCCTCCCTTCTATCATCCCCCCTTTCTTATCCCCTTTCCCACATTCTCCTGTAGGATAAGATAGATTTCCATACCCAACTGAATGTGCATGTTACTCCCTTTTAAAGCCAAATGTGGTTAGAGTAAGATTCACTCATTCCCTCTCACCTCTCCCCTCTTCCCCTCCATTGTAAAATCTTTTTCTTGCCTCTTTTACTTTAGATAATTTGCCCCATTCTACCTCTCCCTTTCTCTTTCTCCCAGTATAATCCTCTCTCACCCCTTAATTTTACTTTTTAGACATCATCCCTTCATATTCAACTAACCCTGTGCCTTCTGTCTCTCTCTCTCTCTCTCTCTATATATATACATACACACATATATATTCCCTCCAACCACCCTAATACTGAGAAAGGTCTCATAAATTAAAAATATTATCTTTCCATGTAAGAATATAAACAGTTCAACTTTAATAAGTCCTTATGATTTCTCTTTCCTGTTTACCTTTTCATGTTTCTCTTGAGTCTTGTATTTGAAAGCCAAATTTTCTATTTACCTCTGGACTTTTCATCAAGAATGCTTAAAAGTCCTCTATTTCATAGAATATACATTTTTTTCCCTGAAGGATTATAATCAGTTTTGCTGGGTACGTGATTCTTGATTTTAATCCTAGTTCCTTTGACTTCCGGAATATTATATTCCAAGCCCTCCAGTCCCTTAATGTAGAAGCTGCTAAATCTTGTGTTATCCTGATTGTGTTTCCATAATACTTGAATTGTTTCTTTCTGGTTGCTTGCAATATTTTATCCTTGACCTAGGAACTTTGGAATTTGGCTATAATATTCCTAGGAGTTTTCCTTTGGGGATCTCTTTCAGGAGGTGATCAGCAGATTCTTTCAATTTCTATTTTGTTCTCTGGTTCTAGAATATCAGGTCAATTTTTCTTGATAATTTTTTGAAATATGATGTCTAATCTCTTTTTTTGATCATGGCTTTCAGGTAATCCAATGATTTTTAAATTATCTCTCCTGGATCTATTTTCCAGGTCAGTTGTTTTTCTAGTGAGATATTTTACATTGTCTTCTATTTTTTCATTCTTTTGGTTTTGTTTTATAATTTCTTGGTTTCTCATGGAGTCATTAGCTTCCATTTGTTCCATTCTAATTTTTAAGGAATCATTTTCTTCAGTGAGCTTTTGGACCTCCTTTTCCATTTGACAACTATTCTGTTTAAGGCATTCTTCTCCTCATTGACTTTTTGGACCTCTTTTACCATTTGGGTTAGTCTATTTTTAAGGTGTTTTTTCTCCAGTATTTTTTTGAGTCTCCTTTAGCAAGCTGTTGACTTGTTTTTCATGATTTTCTTGCATCACTCTCATTTCTCTTCCTAATTTTTCCTCTACTTCTCTTACTTGCTTTTCAAAATCCTTTTTGAGCTCTTCCATGACCTGAGACCAATTCATGTTTTTCTTGGAGGCTTTGGATATAGGAGCTTTGACTTTGTTGTCTTTTTCTGGTTGTATGTTTTGATCTTCTTTGTCACCAAAGTAAGATTCTATAGTCTGAGTGGTTTTCTACTGTTTACTCATGTTCCCAGCCAATTGTTTGACTTTTTAACTCTTTGTTAAGGTAGAGCTCTGCTTCTAGTGTGGAGGGTGTACTGTCCCAAGCTTCAGGGGTTTTGTGCAGCTGTTTTCAGAGATACTTCTAGGTACCTGTAAATTTTCAGTTCTTCCAGGGTGATATGATCAAAGGAAAGGTGTTTACTCCTTTCCTGGCCTGTGCTCTGGTCTGTGAGTGACCATAAACACTCTTTTCTGCCTTGGAACCACCACCACAAGCTCTGCCATGCTAGAACTCCTCCTGGCCTCGGGACCACCACCCAAGACTGTGACCCAGATCCAAGCATGGGCAAAGAAAGAGAATCCTGTCTCAGCACCAGCAAAAAGATCCCTGCAATCCCCCTCTGATCAGCCACTCAATCCCCTCACTGTCTATGGTCTGAGAGCTCTGGAAGCAACTGCTCCTTCTGTGGTCATCACCCCAGGGCTATGCTAGGAGCAGGGCTGGACCATGGTCCTCTTTCACCCAAGTCCAACAGACCTTTCCCACTGACCTTCTAAGTTGTCTTTGGAGTTTGTGGGTTGAGAAGTCTGGAAACTACCACATCTACTAGTGATTCTGTCCCCTGAGGCCTGGTCTGGGTTGTTCTGGCCCTATCTTTGCCTACATAGCCCACACAGAACTGTGATCCTCTCCCAGCCTGGTGCAACAGACCTTTCCCATCAACCATCCAGGTTGTCTCAGGCTGGAAATTTGTTCACTCTGTCTTTTTCTGGGTTCTGCTGCTCTAGAATTTGTTTAGAGTCATTTTTTACAGACATTTGGACAAGTTTGGGGGAGAGTTCAAGCAAGTCACTGCTTTTACTCCACCATCTTGGCTCTGCCCCCATGTTTCTACCTTTTAAGAAATATGTGTGTATCTGTGTGTGAATGTGTGATAGATTTCTGTGCCATAATTATAGTTCTGCTTGGGGCATTAAGAGATTACATAAGTTACCCGTGATCACATGGCTAGAGGAAGGAATTGAAGCCAGATCTTTCTAACCATAAGGGTGGTATTCTTGCCTAGTACTCCAAGGTGCAGTGTTGAGTTTTGTTTTGTTTCTGCATGGGAGAATAAAGGTACATAAAACATACCCTCAGAAGATCATAATTTTCATCTTGGCAAGAACTTTCAGCTTAGGTATGTTTTGCTTATTTTCTTCTTTCTTATTAGCTTTCTCAGCACAATAATGTACCAGATGAATGTACCATTCAAGGGCAAAAAACCCCAGGAATGAATGTCAATTTGGTGTATGCACAGGGCAGGGTTGTACAGTTGGATTTTTCCATTACTTTATATAATGTCTGACTTTTTCTGAGTCTCTTCTCAGAAAGGATGTTAAGGATTCAACAGGGAACACATCATAGACATAAACACAGAAATGAGGCAAATAAGTAGGGAAGGGGTGAGGTAAGGCATCAGCTTGTATTAACATGATTCAAGAAAGGAATCTCATGGAAATCTATAGGTGGAAGGATTCTGGTGATTTGAAACTTATAATGATGTTTTAAAATAAAAAGTGTCAATGTCTTTGTGATACGGATTGTTTTTCTTTTTTTAACTGTTGTTTGGGTTCGGCTTGTTTACCAATGAAAGGAAAATAATTCTGTACCAACTAGATTTCCCTTTTTTGAGGTCATGTTATGCAATGTTTGATGAAGAAAAATTGAGTCTTCAAATTGTTGGTTCCAAAATCTCGTTTTGAATATCACATTATAATGCACAGGAAGCACATGCAGGGGACACACAGGCTCATCTTTGAAAAGGCAGCATTATTTATCTTCAGCATATTAAGGGTTGTTTAGTTTTCTCCTAACTATGTAACCCTTTATTAAGCTTCTAATGGTTGTCAAGGTGCAATTCAGTTATGAAGGTTAAAAATATAAAATGTCCAAATCAGCTGACAAGAGTGAACATTTATCCTCCTTTGCTTTCCCTTAATCCATTTAAACTCACTTTGCCATTTATCTCTTAGAAGACTTATGTTGCTTTCATTTTGTTTGAGGAATGAGCAAAAAATATAATAGTCTGTAGGACCATGTGGCACTTATCTTTCTCTCCATGTCAGAGAATGTTAGAGCTGTACAGGACCATCCACTCACTTCAATTCTCTAGATCATGTTGTATACAACATGCATCTTACCCAAAAGGAAACAAAAGGCTCAAGATAGTTAAGTGACTAGCCCAAGGTCATACATTGGGCATTTAGGGACAAAGTTGGACCTAAAACTCAGGGCTTCTGATTTCCAAGTCTTCCTATAATATCATGTGTCTAGAGGCTATTTGGGGAGGTCAAGGTATGGGAAGAGGGAAACTATGACAGTCTTAAAGCACTTGAAAGGATGTAATGCGAAAGAGAGCTAAAAGCTGTGTTGATTACTCCAGAAAGAAGAATGAAGACCAAAGGGGTGGACAGAGAGTCAGATTAAAAGAAGAAATTGCTAATAATCAGATCTGAACAAAAATGATGCGCTTTCTTATGAGGTAATGAATTTCCAATCACCAAAGGTATACCAGCAAGGTCTACTAAGTGATTATTTCCACCCACCCTCAGGGATATCATAGAGGGCATGATGCAGTCCAAAGAACGTAGGGCTGGGGAGTCAGAGGACTGAGATTTTGCCTGGGTTGCCACTTTACTCTCTGTGTATCCATGGCCAAATCACTTAATCTCTCTGGGCCTCAGTTATCTTATCTGTGTAATGATAGTATAGAACTAGACGACTTCTAGTTTCTGTAGTTCAGAAATCCAAATCCTATTCTCAAACATCATCTTCTTAACCAGCTATTCACTTACCAGGTCTGTCTTTTTTTCCCTCATACTTTTTCCTTTGATCAACAGATATGAAAATGCTAGTTGTGCCTGTAAAGTCACAGGATTATAGAATTGATCTAGAGCTGGAATGGATATTGGAGGCCATCTGGTAACTAGATTCTAATCTAACACTCTCATTTTACAAATCAGGAAATGAAGCCCAGAGAGGTTGTCTTCAGTTTCTCACCCAATGCCTCATCATGCTTAGCAATGCTTCCTAAATTCCTTCTGGCAGTTTTACTTCTCCCCAAATGAATCACCAGAGGTAAGCCAGAGTTTTCAAGTCTGAGGGGCCTCTTGGAAGGTTCTTCACCACATTCCAGATACATGCTCTGGGAAGATGTAAGACTCCTCCATTATTAATGTCAGGTAGACAAATATCTACTTTGGTATCTCTCAGCAGGAAGGCATCACCACTACCATTTATATTTTTTTCTCCTCCCTTTTCTCCTCCTTATTCTCTTTTTCCATTACCTTCATTCCTCCTACTTTGCACCCCTCCACGAAAAAAAAAGTTACCCTAATCACGGATGATCAGTGTGAGAAGAGTCCTGGGGATAAAACTGTAAGAGTGAGGAAAGCAGTAAATCTTGGAAACTAACTTGACAGCGGTTTCAAAACAATTGTATTTGAAAATAGCCTGGGGCCCCTTCAGAACCTCTACAAAAATCTTTGAGAACAAAGGATGAACAAGAATGACCAAAGTTCTGCATGACAGCTCTACTTCCAGAGCAGGTGATGCAAGTTCAACCTTATCACACATATTTCTTACATGTGTGTCTCACCACTATTGTGGTCTAAGTTTAAGCCTACTCCTCATATGGATACTGTGTGTATTTGTGGGAAGGAGTGAACCAGGTTCTTAAGAGAAGGTTTTATGTTAACTATCTTTATCATGTTATCTGAGAGTGGTAGTAGTTGCCTTCTGGGGACCCAACCAGCCAACTCAAACAAAAGTTGGGAAATACTGCTATTATATTTTCTTCTTCCCCTTCTCTTTCTCCTCCTCCTCATCCTCCTCCTCCTTCTCCTTTTCAAAAAACTGGGAAAATTTACCTTTTGCTCTGTGCAGTTTTCATTTTGATTTTTTTTTAAATATAGCTCTGAAAAAACAGGTTTTTAAAAAGCCTACTATGTTTTAAGTGGAGCTACTTAACTACACCTTTCATCCCAAATCATTCTGCCTTTCACTGAATGGACCAATCATAGCCCCAGCCCCAACCTCTGTGGCTCATTGTTTTGATGGCTTAGAATGACTGTGCAAATAGCAGTTGTTTTCTGTTCTGACCAGAGACTTTGAAACTCTTCTTCTCTCAGAGTAATGTCTTTGAGATGGTAAATTGCAACATCTTTTGTCTCAATTCTTACCTAGCCCTTAGTTATTGAATGAGTATGGCCTCAGACAAACTGAGACCTAAGAAAGACTTTAATTTAGAAAGGCAAAGGTCAACCACTGCATCCTGGTCCATGCCAGTCATCTTGACCTTTGTCTTTCTTGTCATTGGACTCCAATACCTCTGGAGGAGTGAGGCTGATGACTTTTCAAAGCTCTACCTCACTCAAATTTAATTTATGCACAAGTTAAGACAACATTCTCATGATGTCATTGGTCCTCTTTGAGAATGAAGGACAAACAACAACATCTGCTTCCTCATTCATCTCTGAGTAAACCTGCTTTCCTGCAGGCAAATATGAAACCATTTTTCTTTTATTGTGTCACTATTTTGTTTTATTACTAATAATATAACAGCATTGTTTTCTCTTACTTTTTTTTCCACTGCAAATGTATTCTAGCTACATTTCAGCTTGAATAGAATTGTTTCTCTGAAGAAACAAAAATGTTTTACATGTTGCAAATGACTGATACACAAATGAACTTTTGTACCACAACCCATTAGTTTGTTAAGGTCTTCAGTAACAAGTGCCTATCACGGCTGTCTACTGGTTTATTTGGGGGTTTTTGGTTGTTTTGTTTTGTTTTTTTGGTGAAAATGTCACTGACTTAATAACCCATTAAGCACCAGCTCCGTCATTTGGTTCATTTCCTGTTTTGGAAACATGAAAGCGACATGGAAAATGTACTGAGCTCTAGTTTTTGTTGCCTCTAGCTCCCCCCACTCCCAAACACCATAGTTTCTACCCTTCAAATCATACTTTGGATTGTGTTCAGAAAACTGGCTTTCTGTTTTCCCAGACACATCCAGGCACAGTGGGATTAATATCAAAGTTCTGACAACTTGATCATGGGCCAGATATACCACTTCCCCTTCTCCCCCAAGAAGAAGTTTTTCATCGGCCTGTTTGGCAAGTGAGTGTTCTTCCTACAGTTCACTCTGGTAAGAGGTTAAGTGAGGTTGAATTACCTCACTTTTGAATTGTTGAAGTGAATCGTTCAACAAGAATTTTCAAGCACCTACTATGTATGCAGAGGCATCATGCTAGGCTTCTAGGATGTAAGAACAAAAATGAAAACAGTCCCTTCCCCCAAGGAGCTTACATGTACAAAGAAACATTACAAAGAAATATGTACCCAGACTGAGTACATAAGAGAGAGTTCAGTGGAAAGGAGTCTATATTTGGAGTGAGAGTACTTGGACTAAAATCTCTGTTTTCATTAGCTAAATGACTGTGGGCAAGTCACTTTATCCCCTCTGGATATCACTTTTCCTATTTGTAAAATAAAAGGCACCCCTTCTCAGAAAACCACTTAGAAATATTCTAAATTAGAAGACTTCCAAATTCCCTTCTAACTCTTAATCTGATTTAGCGACAGAGAAGTATTAACAATCAGAGAACAGGATTTGAGGCAGGACTTTACAACTTCCTCTCTGAAATGGGTATTGATTTAACATAAAGGTTCTTAGATTTCAGGGGTCTGTGAACTTGGACAAGAAAAAAAATCACATTTTTATTTCAATATCTTTTCTTTTATACTCATATTATATATATGTATACATATATATGTATGTATATATATATGATTTTCTTCTCAGTTCTTTCAACTTTTGAAAGAACTCTTACGACATAAACTCAAGGCTCTTCATCATTCTAGTTGCTCTCCTCTGTGTATTCTCCAGTGTCCATCTTAAATTGTAATGCCCAGAACTGAATATGACACTTTAGATGAGGTCTGATAAGAACTGAATGCAATGGGTTAATCCTATTCCTATTCCTGGAAGTATAAAATGTTATTGAAATGGGTCTTTACTATGCAATGAATTCAACAAACATTTTCTAAGCACATAATATGTACTAGACACTAAGCCAGGTACTGAGGATACAAAGATGAAAAATTGCAGTCCACTATGGAGTCCATGACCTAATG